ATAAGATGTAAAAAAAATTTCTTGCAAACATGCACCCCAGAATACAATACACACCTTGTTTTTGAAATGCAGAGAGAAAAAAACATCTTTCCTTGTAATAAGTAACTGAGTAGCAGCAGCTAGGGAGCTGAGCCTGCTCATTGTTCTTCTCCCTGTGGATCGCTGCAGGTGTTACTTTTTTGGTTTCATCTAGTAAGTGGCGGAAACTGCTTTCATCATATTTCTTGCATATAATGCACATTACAGTTTCCAGTAGCTATTTTGTTTAGGAAAAAGGTATGTGTTGTATATGGGAGAAGATTTTTTTTTCTTTTTCTTCTTCAACTGTAACAAAAAGTTAAAGTATCACAATTTTTCACAGAAGAGATATGCCAGTATTTGAGAAGCTATCCTTCTTTTATGATAACAGCCACGTTAAATCTCACGTGATGATCCATGATGATGGCACTCCATTGATGCAATGTGGTCATTTAACCATTTGGGAGACTACCATATGTCACAGGAGAAATAATTTAATCAAGTAGTCTGGTCCATAGATGAGAAAATGGGCATATAAAACACCCAACCACAGCTTTCAAGAAGTAGGTCAAAATCTGAAACAGAGATTCATATCTGACTGTCCTGAAACAAGGTGTTGTAGTTTGCTTTGACAAAGCACAATGCATTAGTTAGGTCAACCCTAGCGAAGCTAATTAGTTTTTCCTAATACAACTTAAAGACTGCAGCAAAATCTAAATCTAAATCAGAAAATCATTTTTATTTCGGTTGTGTGGGTATAGCATTTTATGTTGCAAACAATGCTTCAACAAAAAAATTCCATACCAGCTCCAGTCAGAAAATAGTTAACTACCATAGCTAGAGTCTGATATATATTGAATCAAATTCTGAACTCCTTCCTCAGCATTTCTTCTGTCTTTATTTAAATGAAAATCCTAAAGACTTGAGAGCAGATTTTTAAAGTTTTTATTTATATAATATATTAAAATAGTTTTGGAAAGTAATGTGTGAATATTTAGATGAAGTGTTCTAAATTAGCCTGATTAAAATTCCCTAGCTGACAAAGAAGTTGTTTATACTTAAATGTACTAAAAAAATGCACCCTCTTTTCTTGACTAATCTAGACTGATTAATTAAGGTATTATTTATAAGATTTATAGTTTTTTAATGAGAAAATACAGATTCACTAGTTAGGAAACCAGTATACTAAAATAAACTCTATCAGTACGCTATTTGTCTTAAATGGCTATTTACCTTAATTGGTTAGACTAGAGCATGGTGGTGATAACACCAAGGTTGCAGATTTAATTCCCTGGTTGGACTAGATGATCTCTTGAGGTCCCTTCTAGCCTTACTTCTCTATGAGACTGATGCAGTGTAAGTTGTGTATATAATAAAGCTGAGAAATATAACATTTACGCATTGGTTTATTATCTGGTGTGTTAAGTGTCTTATCCCAAGCAATAGTACCAATGTCTACCTTGATATGTCAGGCCTGGGAAGAATTTCAACTGTTGTGTTGAACAACAAGGCAACAGGGAGAAAATATTTTTTCTTGTTTCTTTCTTTTTTTTTCCTAAGAAAAATTAAACTCAGAGTACATAGATGATGTTCTCCCTAGCACACACCAACAACAGATTATGGGCCATGTATTGGAGGTGGTCAGCAGAACTTTTCTTGGTAGTCTTCAGAACAGAATATTTTGAGAACCAAACTATCCATCCTGGAGCTCTGGAAAGGAGGTGGATTCTTTTCTGCAAAGATATCTGAAGAATAATCAATAAAGGGAGCCATTGGTTTAAAGAATGAAATCAACAGTACCAACAAAAGGCATACAATCCAAAGGCTTATGGTTGTACCTCTTATTATAAAGGATTTACACTCACTTCAGACCTGACACAGAAATATTGTACTGTGCTGCTATGTGCCATATTTAGTATTCTAAAGAGATTTATGGTTGCCCTGTTACCTTTGAGTAATTGAAAACTGAACTTGGTAGAGCACTGGGGAATGCATTATAGAGAATAATCTCATTATAACTGCATTTCTCTGATCTCGTCTATGATTTTTGTGTGCAGCACACATGAACTGTCCCCTCCTATGCATGTAGTTAAATAATACTGTTTTCTCTTAAGTGATGCCCTTGTGATACCATTAATAATGCTGGTGAGTATGTTCAAAAGCTCCTTACTCCAAAGAAATTACAACAGCAGAGAAGAAGCTATTGAATGTGTCTGTGTTCCAGTTACTGTGAGAACTTGTAGAAAGCAAGAGTCAGCTAAATTTAATTGGACAAGCAGAGTACATGTTCCCTCCAGTTGCTGCAGGTTTCACTCTGAAAATCCCTAAATATTGTCTCTGGAAAGATCAAGCTGTTCTATTTCTTTACTTCCATTTTTCAGACAAGACTCTGCACACCATGAATTACTTGTGTTCTTAGATAGTTCGGATATGATAATTAGCTGAAGGCATGCTTTAATTCTGTGGATTTTGTCTTTACTACAGTTTGTATCTCTTTGTCCCCTTTTTTTTTATTTAACAAAAGTGTAATCATTACTTGCAAACATCACCGCAAACTAATTCTCTTGCTCCTTCTCCTGGGCTTATTAGTGGCTGGGAAAGCTCTTTTTTTGTTGTTTTTGGAGTGTCACCCTGTGCTAAATGTGTCACTGTTACTGTTGTGATGTTAGTATTTATAGATTCTGCAAAGCTTGGTGAGTCTGTAATTTTGCTGTCTGTGTTAAGGAAGCAAATTTTGCAAAATAGGCTTCATTAATATGCAAATTACTGTGCTCCTATAGGCCCCCCTCAGTAGTGTGTGCGCTTAGCAGCAGCTTCAGCTTTCAGTTATCTGTAGTCCAATAACAATAGAGCACTGCACCTCTGAGATAATTGCATTTTTAAATGGCTAATTTGTGGTCTTAACATGTGAAAAACAGATGTTTCCAGGGCAAATGCTTCCTGCACTGGTAGGTCAATGGCCGAGAACTGACACAAGAAGACATTTTTTATCAGAAGAAGCAGTCCTTGCTCCACAGGCCTCAAAAGATAACTGTTATCACCCAAGCAAGAGCAAGTTTAGTGTACACATTAAAGAAAAACTGATTATGTACAAGCATACCCCAAATCACAACCAGACCTTATTTTCCCTGAGCTTGAGCATCAAGGGCCAGACGTTTTCCCTACCACAACCCAGTCTATAGTTACTAGATGCCTCCAGATGAGCAGCACAGACGAATGAGCCCCCCTGGAGAGTTCTGAGAGCTGGGGAATGCTTATACAGGCACTGTACGGATTTTAGGTGGTGCAAATAGTCGGTGGGCTTTCCATGCTTTCCTTTAGTTCCCTTTAAAAGCTTTAACAAAATGTAGTAAGCTAATCTGAAATTAGCTCTCGGGCCGTGCTCTCTATACAGTAGACAGCTGTGAGAACAGGAGACTTGGTATTTGAACACAGGTGTGTTATTTCTGATTTTGGACTTAAATCAGATTCCTCTACATCTGCTTGAATGCCCTCCTCCCATCCTTTGTGAGCATTTAGGAACATTTTGGCCTCTTTAGCAAAAGCAGCCAACAGCATCCTGAGTAAAATGAAGGAACATGGCAGATATCTGAAATAGAAAGCATTTTGGACAGTTCCCATGATATGACATGACATCCTCTGAATGTTGCTTCCCGATGGGCTCAAGGAGGATGACAGATACTGCCAATCTGAATTGGTGTGCATAACCTCACTGCTGGTTTCTTCTGTCACTAAAGGAAACTGGAACGAATGTTGGTATTTTTTTAAAGAGTCTGTTTTCCAGGCTCTACTGCCTCTTCCAGTGTTGAGCAAACCTTGCAGATTTACCATCCCCTTTCAGGGTTCATCTGCCTGTCAGGACTCACTAGGACTGACTGATACCTTGGTGCCCTAAATAGGAAGAGGTTATGGAGTACTACATAAGGGTGGGGAGGGGAGAGGGCTTTTTCGTGTGGAGAATCCTAGGATGAGCTCTGTTCTCATTTAAACTGTTGTATATCCAGAATAAAGTCTTTGAAGTCACTGAGATTACCTTGGCTTTACATTGCTGTAAATGCAAATTTGACTCAATTTTTTAGGATGTCTCTTTAAAGAAAAGAGAGCAATAGGAATAAAAACTTCTCGTCTAGTTGGTTAGGCAGAATCCTTACTAGCGTATCATGATCTGAAGCTAGCATCTTGAATGGTGCCTTAAGTGGCTAAAAACCAAGGCATCAAGGTAGTGTCAACGGAGAAGACCTTTTCTTACTTTTAAAAGGAAAGAGTGGAATAAGTCTCAGGGGCCTGGGGGAGGAGCAGTAAAGAAGCTGTCATCAAATCTGTGGGCATGCGTGTAACTCTTCAGATATCTGTCACTTCTAACAGGTGTGTTGAATAGTTTTTCCTTTTCATTTACGCCTTCGCACAACCATACACCGATGGGACAGTTCAGCTTCTCTGAGATGCTTGAGTGACCCTTTCCCAGTTTAAATAGGAGGGTAATAGTGTCAGGGCATTTAGGGAAGGGTTCTCATCTGTGGATTTTACTTCTTGCCTCTTCACCACCAAAATATATTGAGCTTCAGGTTGAATTATTTAAGGAAATCATTCACCCAGGCTTTTCCTAGTGAAGAGGGGCAAGCTTTTGGTTGAGGGTGTAGTCTGGGTTACTTAGAAAGTCATAACTGTTGTTTAGGATGTTTACGAGCAGTGGTTTTAATTATGCAATTGTACACATGACTAGAACATAAATAAATTAGTACAAAAGCTCTGTTAAGTAGTGCTGTTCATGAGTGGGGATGGGTATCCCACTGGCTTTATTTTCTCGTGTGTTTTTCTGCCAGTCATTCTATTCTCATTCCTCTGTTTTCTTTGGCTCAACCCTATAGCTCCCTATTTCAGGTGAAAAAATCTCCATTTTATTAAATTTATTTTAGAGAGGTGGAGCAAAACCTGATCCTAACTAGCTACTGATATTTGTTTTTTCCTCCTCTGTTCTGCAGCAAGCAGCAGAACTCCTCCAAATCCAAGTCTGTTTGGGAACAGAGGACCAGCCAGATCCGAATACACAATTTCCGAGCCAGCTGCGAGGCACTGTACAATGAGCTCGACCCAGAGGAGCGAGTGCGCTATGCTACCACCCTACACATCCGACCAGACATGAAAACTCATTTGGATCGGCCTCTGGTGGTAGAGCCAAGGACTGAAGGTCGGAACAATGTCAATAAGCTAAGCCCTGGAGATGTCCAGGACATTGAGCAGACCAAGACCATCTCTGCTGAGTGTGCAGAAGCTCCACGGAAACATCACCGGCATCGGGATAAAGACAAGACAGGAGAACAAGAGAAGAGTGACATGACCAAGGATGAGAACGGGGAATCTGGCACAAACAACAAAGAGGAACGACATAGGCAACACAGGAGCCGCAGCAAAGAAGCGGAGGGGAGTAGCAAGGAAGGGAAAATTGAGCGCAGCAGAGGCCAGGAAGGGGGGAAGAGGCATCATCGTCGTGGGTCAGTAGAGGAAGGGGCTGAGAAGGAGCACCGGAGGCATCGAACTCACCGGCACTCAGCTGAGCGGCAAGGCAAGGAAGGCAACGGAACAATCAATGGTGCCAGAACTGAGCGGCGTTCACGTCACCGAGGAGGGTCAAGGTCGGGGAATCGAGAAGGAGATCCAGGCTCAAAAGGAGAGAATGGGGAAGAGCCTCACAGACGGCACAGATTTCGGAACAGAGCTCTGTCAACCTATGACCCAGTGGAGAAGGAGAATGGGGAAAAAGAAGGAGATGTTGGGGAAAAGGATCATAGGAACCATCAGCCAAAGTAAGTCAGCACTGCTCTTGTCGGTGTGCCAGCCGTGGGGGAGGAAATCCCCAAATACATCCGAGGAAACAACTTCCTCACCTTTTAAATGTTCCCTGTGGTTACCATTAAAATACAGTGTACCATCCCCATGTATTGGCAGTAGCAATGTCAGCTAAACATTACTGAAGGAAAACAGCTTTAAAATATGGTGTGAGCTTTACTGGCCAATGCAGTCTTAAAGATGTCTTCTGCCAAAATATTCCTGATTCAGCCCCACACGGTCCTTGTCTGTAGTAGGTGGCTGTAGGCTCCCTAGCAGAGTACTACTGTGACCCTGCTCTTTGGCAGACTTACCACCATACAACACACATAACAAGGGTTGCAACAGCAGAATGAATTGAGTATAGTAGCTTTTCACTGTGTTTTGGACTATTCTTATATTATATTGTAAGGTTTATTGGAATAGTTTTGGTTTTGTTTTCCAGCTTATGCATTTTTGTAGGGCTTTTCATCACTTATAAGTAGGTCTTAAAAAGTATTTTACTTCAGGATTTCAGAATCATTTATCCCCATTTTACAGAGGCAGAAACAGTTTCTGATGTCTGATTAATTAATGTTTGCAAAATACTTGGAGACTGGCAAGCAAGGTACTTCACTATGTACCTGCAAATTATTGCACTTCAATGGTGACAGAGGAAGAAAATGTTTTAAAAGAATGTGAAAATCCAACATAATCCTTGAGGAATGAGATACTAGTTATATTTAACCCTTAGTGCTTTCCAGATTGTCATTTGATGGGGTGCATAGAAGGATGGGCATATTCAGAGAGCCAGTTTCTAGGCTTTTTTCCTGGCAGTTGCACATGGATTGTAGTAAGATCTCCTAGATCTCTCCAGTGCAGGGGTAGGCAAAATGTGGCCCGCGGGCCGGATGCGGCCCACAAGACCATTCTATCTGGCCCGCGGGACCCTCAACATTTAGAAAATTAATAGTTACCTGCCCCTGGCTGCCCGTCATGTGGCCCTTGATGGCTTGCTGAAACTCAGTAAGTGGCCCTCCATCCGAAATAATTGCCCGCCCCTGGTCCAGTGTGTAGTGAAGGACGGTACACACTGGGATGGAGTTGTGCTTCCATTTTTCTATTCCTCCTGTGTTCCCCCAAGGGAGCAGAGAGGGACTAGAAATTTACCTGGGTCTTACACTGACCCATAATGTTGTTGGGACCTTTAGTTAAAGCACCCGCACCGCCATTTTTCAGCACAGAGATGCTGATACATGTGACGCTGGAGTCTTCTGGGTCACAATAATTACCATGCTCCAGCAGACTCAATCAAGTCTGCCCCAACGTGCTGTAATTACAGCACATCAGAGCAGCCTCAGTGTACATATATAGGTGCCCCATTGTAGTATTTAAATACAAAGTAATCCCCACTATGTCCCTGCTGTAGAAACTTGTGATTTATCCTAGTGACCTATGGCCAGAATCTGTCCTTGCATGTCTGTTGTATCCAGACAGGTTTCATGCCCTGCCTTATTTTACTGCATTGTCATGATAGTGATGTGCATTTCCGTGGTACTTTGTAAATTAACGTAACTTTGTAAATTAACGTAGTTGAAGCTCAGTATATGAGAGTAAGCGGCAAATACATATTATCTTGACTCCTTCAGATTCTGATATCTCAGATTGTCTTTACAGGTACCTTACAGAGGGATTAAAATACATGTGATTGATTGGCTGGACATTTATGCCTCCCTCAAGCTTTCACAGTTTACCATAGAAACATGTTATAGCACTTATGGAGCCCATGTGGTTTTGAGCTTGCAGTAGAAATCTCTGCAGGCACTGACTTCTTTACAAAGGCAGTAGCTACAGTTTCAGCATTAACCATTTCTTCAGCCTTTTCTCTCTAACTGTTTTTGATACATTGGAAATAACCCAAGAAATATCCCAGGCACAAATGTCTCTTGTGGTGCTAATTAACAACATAAAGGATCACTGGTAGGGGAAAGGGGGGAAACTTCCATAGACTGGCTGAGGCTTGAACTTGCTTCCTCCCTCCAGGGTGAACATACTTAATTTTTATCATTCCCTGGGAATAAATATAGATTTTGGCTCCTAAAATCCTCTTGACCCTTGACTGTAACAGGTTGGAGATTTTTGAATTGCCCTGAATTCTGAAAGTTAATTTGAGAGTCACTTAGAGCATATAACAAATAAATCAGCATGGCTTACTGGAAAGCATTTTCATGTGTAATGCTTCTACGACAGAGTAGTACTGAGTGAATAAAGCTGTGTAAGGAGTCAGACATTAAAACACAATCCCTTTCTGCTTGATATTCAGTCAACAGTTAAAGTTGTGGGAAACTAAGTGTTCTGCCTAACTTTCACTAAAAAAAAGTTTCTGCAGCACAGTCCTGTTCCCAATGAAGTCATTTGCAAACCTCCCATTGATTTTAATAGGGAAAGGATGAGCCCATTATGCCCAGAGCTATTAGTTGGCATGCAGTGGATACCACATTCATTTATATAGTCAATATATTGTTATCTCAGGGGCAGCAAGTGAGTGCACAAATAAAATTTATTATATTATGTTTAACTGTTATTGGAGTGAATGGGAAAATTAATAACCATGACACATTTAGAATATTTAATAGAGAAATAGGGATAGAAGACAGAATTGGCTTTACAGCTCTAATAATGTAATTTTAAAGGCTGCAAATCATTGGCATAGGATGTATCTCACCAATTGAAATCCTGGTTAACAGAGGTGAATTGACATATTAATTTTACTGTTGCACCTTTTATTCAAATGGATCCCAAAACACTTAACACATTTAATAGATTAATCATTCACACAGAGATCGCTGTGTTTCTCATTGAAATACAGCCAATTCTGAAGTGCAATGCAATAGCTATTTAGCTGCATACAGTAACGTTATACAACAGTTTAAGATCGGAAATGCGGCATGTCATGTGAAACTTCAGGGAGAATGTAGGGGAGACGAAGGTAAACACCTAATCCAGAATGTGGGTGATAAAAAAGACTAACGTTACTACAGCTGTACAAGAGTCATGGGATCCCCACCTCATGGGACCTCAGTTTTATGTCTCAAAAAAATAGGGCTTCCAGCTGCATATAGCCTCCTCACATCATGTGTAGATGTTGGCACAGTAAAGAGAAAAAGTCGCTTCCATTACACTTTCTGCAGTCTGTAGGTTTTCCATAAAGGTCTCCCATTTACAAATGCCTTGGTTTTGAATAGGTTTATAATCACTATTCTTCCTTCTCAGGGAAAACCAGTGCGAGATCGAGGCTGGGGCGAGTGTCAGTGTTGTCCCAGTGCAAACCCTTCCCAGCACATACCTGCAGAAAGTGCCTGAACAGCCGGAAGATGCTGACAATCAGAAGAATGTGACTCGGATGACTCAGCCGCCGCTGGACAAAACCACCACTGTGAACATCCCTGTTACCATCACTGCACCACCGGAGGAGACCACCGTCATACCAAGTAAGCGTCTTGAATGGCCTCTCAGCCCCAAGGAAAGTTGCAGACACAAGTCTAGAGTTCCCAAAGAATTCTGCTGAGTGGGAGCTGAGCTCTTTTGAAAATATGAACGTATATTGCCATGTACTAGAGCAAAGGACCTTGGACTAATTTAAGTTGTAATAACAAACATGATATTGCTAGTGTGTATTTCCTTCCTTGCAATACACTTGGGCAGAGGAGTTGTCTTTCTTTCTACTTTTTTTATCTTTTTTTTTAACCAGGCTCAATCTCTAGAATGAGATGAAAGAGATAGCAACAAAAACGGGGAGAGGGGAGAAATGGCCTAGAGAAATGTCATGTCAAGTCTGCCTCTGCTTTCTGATGTCATTAGGTGACAGCTTTGTGTCACTCTTAGTTCTGAATTGTCTGAGGAGAAAGTCCCTGGCTTCTGCATGAAAGAGGAGATTTTTTTTCCTTTTTCTCCTTTAAAACCAGGCTTTCCTAAGAAGCACATGGATGATGAGAGACTTATTCAACCATTGAGCATGTTCGCTGTTCAGAGTGCACCTGCCAGTGCCCAGAAGCTGAAATACTAAGGTTTTTTTCAGTGTTTAGATGAGGGGAGAGGTAATGAAGTCTTCTTGATTCTTTTCACAGCTCCGAGTCTTGCTTGGTGTGTTTTGTTTATCGTGGACAAGTCACTTGGGGCC